TTATGTGAAGTATTTACTTCTGAGAATATTTTACAACTTCGTTCATGCTGCTCTGGATTGAGGTAGCATCCCACTCCTCTCATCCATTCCCACATCAGGGACAGCAAAATGGGACAAAAGTGATTCTGTTGAATAACAACAATGTGCTAGAGAAGTTCTACAGGAAGATGCTAATCTGGAAGAAAAAATAACTGGACCTTAAGAAAACCATTCCTTTGAGCAAACTACTGGCTGATATGAAATCTCACCCATGAAGAGGCTTTAAAACCAGGCCCTTGCTGGGAATGGTTTTGGCATATTTGAGTCTTCCTTGGTACAGCAAATTGAAATAGACAATACTGTGAGGATCTTTCCATCTCTACATTTTGGTGTTTCAGATTCCACATTGGCTTTATAAGGCTTTTATTCCTACTGTTTTTTACTACTTCAGAACTCTTAAATTCCTAAAAACGAATCCTTCAGGAAGTGTACAAAGTCTTTTAACAAGTAACTGAACCTCTGTATGGCATTTTCATCTAGTCTATTGAAACAGGTGAATAATTCTGAGGTATTTTGAATACATGTTTACAATGGCTTATCACAGATACTGGATTCAGACCTTTCTCTAACTGTGATACATTAAGATGTACTAAGATAATTCAATATTCAATGAGCCTCAGACTCACATTCCCACTAATCAGCAAGTGTTAATGTACAAGAACATGCAGCATAAGGAGATTATGCCTGACTGAGGGCTAAAGCATCTTCCTCATGCCACCTATGTGGCATAAACCTATGCCGATGTATTTCTTTGTATGTTTTGTTTCTGTATAGTTATCTACATTCACATTTGCTATTTTAAAAGCAATACTATATTCTACATGGGATTCATGGAGAAACTGTTGAGTGGATGAAAAGAATACGGTTGAAGAGAAGGTTGTTGGTTCCAGTCTGACTTCTCTGCTACTCTAGCAAGTTGCTTAAACTTTGGTTTATTTTGCCTGTCAACCCTTTAAATGTGCTAAATAACTTGAATTCCATTGATTCCAATCAGGAAGGTAAGGAGTTCAGGTAACAGAAGAAGAGACATTGTGTCTGGTGGTAAAGTTTTCTTGGTTTCCTTTTAGAATTTTCTTGGAGGGTTGCTTGTTACAAAAAAAGAAAAAACAACCCCAAACCAATGGACCAAAACAAAACCAAAAAACAAAACACACACGAGGTCTTCTAGATGCAGGAAGAGATTTAAACCAATAATTCATTATGCCTACCACAATAAAGCAGAATTAAAAAAACAAAGCAAAGACAGGAGGGAGAACTGATTAATTAGATGGACATGAAAACTGGAAGTTCTTTTCTTTTGAAATAGGAAATGTATATTTATAGAATAAGAATATCCCAAGAATGAATTATAATAACATTTTCATGGTATCAGGAGATTTAGGTTAATAAGCAAAGTATCATTTATGCATGTAACATTGCTTGCTGTTAAGTGAACTGCTAATTTATCAACCCTATTTGTAAAGATGAAGTGGAAAGAAGATAATGGGATTGCATAGCTAAGTTCCATACAGAACTGCATATCAAGCACACTAATTTTCTCATGTGTGACAGCAAATGTAGTTCAACTGCATATGGGCTTGTTTTGGGGTTGTATTCCTCATCTTTGAAAGTCTTTGAAAACATCTCTGTATGACTACAGATAACTCTCTAGGGGAAATAAGGCGGCAAGGAAAAGGCAAAGCACACATACAAATAGAAGCACTGTGAAACCTTCCCAATGGGTGCTTAGAGAGCTTATTAAAAATACAAACAACATCTGAAGAGAAGCAAAAAGGAAGAGCACAAGTTGTGGCAACATGTTTGAGGTGCCACTAGGAATTTGCTTGGCAGTTACACATGCTGGTCTAATTGCAACCTCTCTGTAAATAGCCTCTTAATATAGAAGTAGTTTAGTTTTGCAGGCCAGAAGTCAATTTCATGTTTAGATGCTCTGTAAAACACTGTGGCTGTGCAGACTTCAAAAACTCTCTGTAGTGGGGATTCCCTTTGAGGCAGAGAGAGAATTTTCCTGGTCAAAAGCGTGAGAATTCCCTTTTAGTTTCACTTTACTGTAGGGGTTGTATAAAATTCCTTTCCCCCCATCCCATCTCTAGCTAGACACTTCAGAAGTTAGAGCAAGTCCTACACGTGACATATCCTACCACCCGACAAAACAACTTGAAACCAATAAAATGTCTACCCTGACACTGAATTCTCCAACCTAAATTCAGTCAAAGACACAGTTAATATATTAAATTCATATATATATTTTACACGTTCATCTGCATGAGTCCTCTACACATAGTTGAGCACTATACTGTGGATAGTAGGCAATAGTTAACAGCTGGGAGGAGGTAGGTGTGTATGAGGGGAAGACTAAACTTCCCTGAGGGTTTATGGTCTGCTTCTGAGCAGATTGAAAAAGATTAGGCCAAATAATCTTCAGCTGCTTAAACTAATTTGACTTGTTCTGCAAAGACTAGACAGGCCCATGCAATGTGGTACCATTTGGGAAAAATACAGCCTCACAGCTGAGACCAATCCACTTTGGAGCAAAGTTACACAGGTGAGTTTGAACTTCACCTGTGTAATTTTGCCTGTAAACAGGACTAGAAACTACACATCAAAACCAGCCTAGAAAGTTGTTACCTACTGTTTTGTGGCTTCTAGGTCCTAGTTCCTAGGCAAGACCTGCACATCTAGTCTTAATAGGTGTATTCATGCCCCAGGTGTAACAAAACTCCCTTGTTCAGTTAGTTCCTTCTGTTGATTTTACCACCAGAGGAGATAATCCAGCTCCATGGTTTATCACTTCCTTTTGCTTGTGGAGGTTTCCAGGCATCACAGAAGTTGACACTTTAGGAAAGAGTGAAATTCACTGATGTTTTCCATGTATTGTCTTTAGGAATACTGTAGCTAGATTTTTAATCTACTTTGTAATAAACCCAGTAATAATGGTAAGGTAATGTTTGACTTTATTGGTCTTTTGAAACACAAAAAGTGAAAAATAATAAATCCATAGAAAGCGTGGCAAACAATATTTTCAAAAACTGCTGAAACATAAAACCAAACATAGATAAATCTTCTTAGCCAAATCTCTTCCCTTTCCCAGTATGTACAAATAGACAGAAAACATATCTCCTAAGCTTTGTAGAACATCTCTACTGAACAGACTTCTGTCCTAAGTGTGAAAAGGACTTTCATAAACCTATCCTCTCCTGTATGTGTCTTTCAGTTACTAATTTGATTTTCATATAAAGAAGCTCCCCCCTGCAGCAATTACGCTTGCAATGCAGAGGATCAACCATAGTGCCACCTCCTGACACCGAGTAAGTGGTGTGGAGAAGGATGGGCAAAGGTTCTTATGGGCCCAGCACAAAAGAGCAGAAACTGTGACCCCCTGTAATGAGGTAACACAGCTGGAATCTCCCAAAGCAAGAGACCTGGGGGAAAAAAAAAAAGCTAAGAGCTGTACCTAGTTGTAAATGCCCTTTACATTTTTAATGTACTCATTACATCAAGAAAAGAAAATATATTCTGTAGTAGTTGAAAATAAGTTGTAAAAAAGTTGAAATCGCATCCATTTCAATGCATCTGCCAAAAGTTACTTTGACTTGAGCGGCCTAGGGAGCACTGAGAAACTACCCGGGGAATCTGTGAACTGTGGGCTAAAGCACGTTGAGGAGGTTAAGACTGTGGGAACGGGAGTTGGGCTTATTTGGTTCCTCAGAGAGGGTAGGAAGCTCAGTAGCAGTGGCGTTCACAAATGAAAAAGGGAAATGGCAGGGATACGTAGTTTTCTGTTCTGGGAGATGTATTTTAGGGAGAAGGCCACATAGAAAGGAGCCCTCGAGGCATTTTTAGCATTTTAACCGAGTAACTGGGTCAAAGTACGGCCAGGAGAGGGCTAGCAGACAGCTCCACCGGTACGCCTGAGGGGGCGGTGGTTCGATGGACAAGTCCTGTCAGAACCGCCGCGAGAGGGACAGCGCTGCCCCTGCGGGAAAGCTGCTTCCCCCGAATCCTTCTTCTTTCCTAGAAGGACCCCCTTCCCCTCTCGCTTCGTCACCTGAGCCCCGCCGGGAAGCCGGCCGCGTCACCAACGCGGCTCTCGCCCCGCTCAACGCCCGTCCCCCGCCGCCGCTGGGGACAGCGGCGCCACGGCGCCCGCCT